ATCACTACCGTCATCATCATATCATCATCACCACCGTCATCATCATCATCACTACCGTCATCATCATCATCATCATTACCTTATTCAGCTTGATTTTCTTCTGTTTGGCGTCTTTAGCAGGTTTAGCCTGTTCTGTAGTTGTTCTAGTGTATTGTGGTTTACTGGTCGTGGCAGATGGTTTGGTAGTCTTCCCTGACCTTAGTGGACAAGAAGATTCTTGAGATGATTTGGAGCTTGATGGTTTTGCCTTGATCTCGCCCGAGTCCTAAAATCAAATATATGATTAGCGCAATCAACCGAATGATGACGTAGATGATGCTTTGATGATAATGGTGACGACAATGGATGATGTCGATGATGATGTAATAGGTAATGATGCTGTGAAGGCATATGATGAACGACATTATTACTATGGTGGTGGTGGTGATAATGTCGATTATGATGATGATGGCACAGACGACGGATGACATTGCAATTGATGTCAAATGATGTCATCGGGGAAAGATGATAATGATGGTGATGATAGTGGTGGTGATGATGATGCTGTTTGATAATGATGATGATGGTGATGTTGATAATGATGAAGACGTTGATGATGATGATGGTGGCTATGCCGCACAAGATATAAAGATATAAATAACAACAAAGCAGTTATGGTAAAACCAACCTCTTCTTCYCCGTTAACCTCCTCGATGTGTACCCGTCGTCGTCGAGCAGCCTTTTTCTGTTGTCCCTGCTGGTTGTTTGGCTCAGTTTTGGAAGTCTTGCTTGGTTTCTCCTCATTCTTGGCTTTGGTTTCAGGTGCAGATTTCTGCTTTTCCCGTCGCTCCTGGAAATAAAAACACAAGCAACCCAACGGGAATAAATTCGAGTGATAAACTCATGATTCCTAACGTTGTTGGTTAGGTGGCTAGCCATCCCCTTTGGAGTTGAAAAATGATAATACAGGATAAAGTACAACTTAAAGGGAACGCTATGCGATGTCTTTCTACCTAACCCCACCCCCCTTGAAATCGTTCTGGATCTCCCACTGTAGTGTTAGTATTTCTTACCTCTCTACACAGGTTGAGCACGGTGTCCAGTTCTTTCTTTCCAGCTGTGTTGGTTGGCTCAATCTTGATCAGGTTCAGGAGATCCTTAGCTGCGTTATCATATTCTCGTAAGCCCTAGACAAAAAAGATCTTGTTATTTACTCAAACAGAAGTAAATTTAGGGACCATTTACTTTTTACTAGGAAAAGGGGGGGGGGGCAGTGGGATTTTTTTATGGAGGGGGGGAGGTTTAGTAAAAAAATAAGGCCTCAAGAAAGGGGACACACAAGAACATTCCAGTACTTTTACAACAAAAAGAAGAGAATGAAAAACAAGAGGAACCATTTTTTTATACAAGGAGGGGAATCAGAGTTCTCGTATGGGTTATCAAGCGAATCTCACCCTCATAAACAAATGAATGGTCCCTTAGAAATTCTTTGACGACTCAGAGCTTCTCTCATTGTTTTATAAACCTTTCCTTGTATCTAAGAAGACAGCTTAATGAAAAATAAAATCTATTCAGTATTCTAACCTTTTTGGCCAGTGCACGCCTGTACAAAGCCTTGACATTACCAGGCTCAAGATCCAGGGCTTTGGAGGAATCCTCTAGTGCTTGTTTGTACTAGAAATAACAATGAATTGAAAGGTGAGCTATTGGCATTGGAAACATTTAACTAAGATAAAGTGGTATTTTGGCTGATTGGCTACCGAGTGTTCAGTCCAAAGATTTAGCACTTGTTTGAAGTTATAACAAAAAGAACTTATAAGAACTTATAAGAACTCTCTTCTCTCACTTCTTTCATGCTCAACAGCTCCAAGCATGTTTAAAGGCACCGTGCTTTTCCTAACACTTCTCTTGTGTTTTGCCATTCAGAACCTGCCAATCTCTATGTGCTTTATAACACAGCATGCATGTGCTTTTCTATTCTCTTTATTGAAGTACATGAAGTATCCGCATACAGAGTGTTGATACCAACCTTGTTCAATCTCAGGTAACATAGTGCCCTGTTAGTATAGCTGACTGCCTTGTTGGGGTCGAGTTGTATACAGTCAGTATAGCAGTTGACTGCTTGCTCCAGCTTACCCTGAAGGTAAAGTCACAGGTTAACAAAATATAAACAAGAGACCACAATATTAACTTAATATAAAAAAACTAAATACAATAAATATATATAATACTACTGACAATACAGATAATCAAAATATCAGTGACCAATTTGAATAACCATATTGTTCTGGACTGACTAGCCTCATGTTTAAGTGGAAATGCAAATTAAAAGCATTTTCACATGCATGAGAGGCTAGTCAGTTCAGAACAATAGTTATTCAAATTAGTCGTCATATTWYGATTTAGTGCATWGTCATGGTGTGAMAGATAAAAATACTCAGTCTGATAGAGTTCATGCAAGTAAACAAATAACACTTAAAGGAAGA